CCCTCCTTGTATTGTTCTTTTTGACTGTTGGGAGGAAGAGGTATGTCAAACCTATACACTGTTAAGTCAGCAGCTGATGTCATGCAGATGTCTATAGTTTGAATTTACCAGAGGACAGTCATGAACTGGAGTTGTTTTTTTTTGGGAGTAATAATAATAATAATAATAATAACAAGACAACTACTACTACTACTACTACTACTACTACTACTACTACTACTACTACTACTACTACTACTACTACTACTACTGCTACTAGTACGGTAATGATAATAATAACAATAATGAAAATAATAATATTCATTTTGATTTTTATGATTTTTGTTATTACAACTTCATAAACGTCACCACACTGGTTACATTTTCAGATTTCCCCGGCAAAGTTCATGCCGGTTGAGAATGGAGAGCAAGAGAACGGAGAAGAGGAAGAGGAAGAGGAGGTAGTAGAGGTGCCTCGCCAGGTGGAGGTGGAGGAGGTCGTGGAGAGAGAGATGCTGCAGGATGTGGTGGAGACAAGGAAGATCCCACAGGTCAAGGCCATGTACCCGTACAAAGGTCAAGGCATGAAGGTCGACAAGGGGGAGGTAAGCAGTTTCTCTTATTTATTATGACGTGAGGTAAGCACGTCTTGTGGGTGGTTAGAGGGTGCTTCTGAAAAATTTCCATCTGGGATAATAAAGTATTATCTTATCTTATCTTATCTTATCTTATCTTATCTGATCTGATCTTATCTTCTTTTTTTCCCCTCTTCTGTTCTTTCTTTATGTCTTTCCTCTTTTATCTGTTTCTGATTTGTCTCTCTGTTTTTTTCTGGTGCTTTGTGGGGGGTCTAATTTTCTTACTTTTCCTACTTCTTTTCTCTCTATCTCTTTGTTTTTTCTGTCTCTCTTGTCTGTCTGTCTTTATTTTTTTCCCCCAGCACTAAATGACTGTTATTGTGTCTTCTATGCGCTTCTTTTTACTCAAAATACAATCTTCACGTCTTGTCAATGAGGATTTGATTGAATTGGGCCAAAATTGCATCGTGTGTCCTTACGTGAAGGATGCTGTATCTCTACTCACAGGCAGGGTCTAAGCAGCCTGCCCCCTAAATGATCTAAATTGGGCCCATAAAGGCTTAAAATACGTCTTACGATCATTGCTCTATTTTTATTGTGACACTAATAGAAGAAACATGAAGTAGGCCGTTGGCGGGTGCTCTGGTGTGGTTTGCTTCTTCTTTCCTATCAAACATCTATCGTCCTTATCTCCCCTTCTTCTTTTTATGTTTATTACTCTCTTGTAACACCTCTCATCTTCTGGCGCTCTTATGACCTTATGCAGTTGCGAGCGCCGTAAAACCTCTACTAAAACAAAACAAAGAAACATGAAGACATAAAAACACACAAACGAATGGCAGAAATATGAAACAAAGCCAGTTTTTAATGAACGTTAATGTAGTGGATTTGTTAGAAACAATAGCTTGAATATTGCGACTTAGTTGAATCGATAAGACCACTACCCTTCTAAGATTATGTCTTTTTTTCCTCCTTTCTTCACATCTTCTCTTTAATCGTCTTTTTCCTGGACGTTATTATTATCAACAACAGCAAGAATTATAAAATTTGCGGTAAAAACAGAAAACATAAAATTCTTCTGTTCTCCAAAAGAACAACTTAAGAATGATATATGATGCGGCAAAAGGAATAGAATTATGAGATTTTCGTCAAAGCGCACGCAGATTAGTTAGAAAGTGGAGGGAGAGGAGGCGACACAAAAATAAGAAGAATATTTTTTCGACGCCCCAATTGCTCTCTCTCTCTCTCTCTCTCTCTCTCTCTCTCT